TGGTTCAACAAACGCCAAACAAGAAGCTCAAACAAACCACAGAAAACAACTTTACAAAAGTGTACCTGAGTGAAAACTGCTGCAGCACCATGTACAATTTAATATGGAGTTGCAAAACATTCCTCGATAATCTGTTAGTCACTCCTGTATCTCTTCTCCAAACACCGTTCCTTTTCTTATCACTATCTACAGTATCTGCAGGGGTGGGCTGGGTTTAAAATTCACCCCGGGAGCTTGGTTTAGAGAGGCCTTTTATCTAATCGCATGACGGATGCAAGCAGAAACATAATTTTAACACCGATTCCTTATTTGCAGGATTAAAACACTGTTTTTTTTCAGTGATCAACTATAACAAAAATCTTATCTTAACTATCAAAGCAAATACTTGAAAACAAAAACCAACCTCAAAAGATAGACCTGTAACACCCTAACATATCCGTCCAATTTCCTCTGTATCTTGTGCTGCTTTATCAGCATTAAAAGAAAACCATAAATAATGAAGTTTATAAATAGCTCATTACCAATGGGAAATTAAATCAGATGTCTAATTCAGAAAGCCACTAGCAGAACTTGCAGAGGTGGAGATATAGGCTTAATATTTCTGTGTGACTGGAGCCTCTTAAGATCCCAACATTTTAGTCCAAAACTAGTCTTTGTCAAACCAACAAACATATACTTTCACTTTCTCTTGAAAAAACTGGTGAAATATATTTATCCAGAATGAGTCTTCTGTGGTTAAAGATGTAGATTTGACCTATTTTTATGCCTTGTACACATTTGTGGACCAGAACAAATGTATCAGTTGGTTAGTGAGTGTGAATACAGACTAAATAAAACTCATTTTAAGCTCAGTCAGAAGAAAGAAAAACACATTTGAATGTAAATTGTGAAATTTTAAGCCTGTTTCAGATGTAAAAAAAAAAAAACAACTAGATTTAGACTACAATCCTCAGATCTCAAAATGTTAATGTAATTTAATACAAAAACTCATCATAAACACAATCCTGCATACTGAACATGTACCTGGCACTGCTTTTTCAGTGGTTCCTGCTCCACTTCCCTGCTTCCTCTCATCTTTCTCATTCTCCTCCTCTTCCATCTCCTCCTTCTCCTCACCACTCCCTTCCTCCTCCTCTTCACTTCTAAGACTGGCATCAACATCACATCACATCAACGTGCACCTGCTGAGAAAACTGCYATCATTTAAAGGGGACCTATTATGCAAAATTCACTTTTTTAAGTTTTTTTTTTTACTCAACTTTGGGTATGTACTTCTTAAAAAAACTGTCCTAGGACCAAAAAATGCACCCAAGGACATATTTACTGTAAGTAAATGTATTTTTAATGTGTATTAATGAAAAGTTTTATACTTCCGTTATTTTGTGATGTCACAAGCCGTACGACAACCCACCGGAACCTGCGTTTCCCGGGTGAAACTCCACCTCCTCAGTAAAAAGAGCCGTCACCGTTTTGTTGTGCAATGTGCAGCTCAGTTTACAACAAGCCTCCAATAGGGCAATGGGTAGAGTGTTGGACAAAAGAGTGGGAGACCAGGGTTTGAGACTGGCATGGACACACTTCAAGTATTTATTTTCATTTGTTATGAACACGTTTTCTCATGTACCTCTGTTGTTTAGCTTATTAAAGCCTTGTCAAAGCCTATTTGTTCGAGTTTCTGAGGTATTTTGACCACTGCTGCTCCCTGCTCTGGTAACAGCATGCAGAGTGAGCGCAGAGCAGAGGAGGGAGAGGAAAAAAAAGAAGCTGGGACCAACTCTGCCTCTGGGTCTCATATGGTTGAACAACACAGCTTCTGCTATTATTAGCCATGCTAACGTAAATGCTGGCT